CGAACATTTGATTGGCGGTAGCGAAAAACGCATTTTTCGGTTGAGCTTTGAATGTAAGAGTCCGCATGTAATTGAAAGGTGCGGTAATAAGTTAGTGTTCCTGTATATTTAACCGCAATTTTGCATTAACCGCCGCTTCTGAAGATGTATGCAGAAGCATACGAAACGTCAAGTAAAAGATAACAAGTGATGTGTTTATATCTGATGTTTGTCACCGCTGTTTGTCTCATTTCTATATTTGGGAAACAATGCGTACACGCATGAGTGCAAACTTTATTTCAATTCCAATTTAAATAGTTGATAAACTAGTACATCCGAGAAAATCATGCAAAAATAACCTTCGTACAAGATCGAGCAGAGTAACTTACATCAAGCTGTGAAGTTATGAAGTTATGCAATAATGAATAAAAAGATCACAGGAAGTGAGGCTCTTTGCACGATCCGGTCACATGGTACGGAGTTAATTACGCAAGTTACACAGTGGGATTTCCAAAACAAAGGAACTCGCACCAGTCTAGGACGACTTTCCTTTGTTTTGAAAATCCCACTGTGTAACTTGCGTCCCAGCGGAATTAATTCTGTACCATGTGACCGGATCGTACAAAGAGCCTATTTTATACCTGTGAAAATTCTCGTAGTTCGTAAAGCATCGTTCTTGCACCATTCAATCATTTTTTCCACATCATCATTGACGACGCCAACAGACCACACGCTCGGGTATTTTCTTCGTCGTAACCACCTTTTTCGCAATGGAAGAACAAATGCCTTGCTCCTCTAGTGCTCCAGATAACTCGGCGGTACATGTAATTGAAATCGAGGATGATTGCCCGCTATCACCCGTCCCGCTCGAGCAGGAAAAGTTGGTAGAACCACTCTTCGAAAATGAAGACGGCGTCGCTGAGGGTAAAATTCACGCGTTACCTACCCTGAATTCAGCGCAGAGAGAGGCCGACAATGAAGACGACGTCGTTGCGGGTGAATTTCATGCGGAATCTACCCTGCATTCAGCGCAGAGAGGGAACAAGCGCAAAACCCCGTATTCGGTTAAATTCGGTGAGCTACCCGAGGCAGTCAGAAAGTTTTTGGCTTCCGTAAAGAGATTCTTTACCCAGAAAGTCAACTTTGAAAGAGAGAAAGCACCGGTGACCCTTTCTACTTACGAGAAGGCTCAAGAGAGAATGCTTTGTAAGTATCTTTGTTTCTTTTTTTAATTTTGGCCTTAATTTCCACGTTTGCGCCTAAGTGATGATAACCGATATTTGGGTGACGCGATTTAACATATAACCTCTCCTTTTTTATCTTCTTCGCAGGCTTTCTGGGTTACGTTAGAACTACTTTAGGCCGTGATGAAGAGCTTTTACCACATTGCTTTTTGAGAGTTCCCTTGATCGAAGGCTACGTTGAATTTTTGAAGGTGAGAGAAATTCTTTACAGGCTTTCGTATTAAGTTTTGACACCTTAGTAGAAACGCCCAAGGGAACTCACGGCCGGGGACTGAAAACCACATCAGTTAGTTTCGTAAAAAAATGTGAGCCCGTAATACCTGTGTGTAAAGAAACTGCTGAAAATGACGAATATTGGAGGATTTTCGCTATGCACGTTAACATCACAGATAAATTACGCTATGATTGGGACCTATATCTTTTGCATCTGAGGTATTGTTTTAAAGTAACTTCTCGCCATAAATTAGTGGACTTTTAACCTTACGACGTGTACTAAGTTGTGTTGATTACTCACAATGTGTTATCAGCAATGCGATATCTTTTTACCGATCTGCCGTTGAAACTTGTTTTATGCTAACAATAACCTTAAATCTGTTTTGGACGTTGTCTTTATCGAATTAAAGAGAAATTATAAATAGCTAGCTGCTAATAAGTTGACTCTATACGTTAAGAAGTCAATAATAGTTGTTATTATTAGTAGTAGTATTATTCCATACTTTTTCTGAAAGAAAGAAATTCCCAACAAATTGGAAAATTTTAATATCACTGATTTACTGCTTGGTAGGTGAAATTTTTCCTTTCGAGCTTGAAAACTTTAACCCAGAGACTCTTGCCTCTGATGAATTTCTGCTACATGTTGATTCTTTTCTTTTCCTTTTCTTTCGTTTACATCTATTTATTTACTTATTGATTTTTGGCTGTTCCGAGCCTCAATTAACCTGTTCTGTTTCCTCACAGGAAGAACGAAATTGCAGCTCTGCGACGGTTTCAAATCACATCAGCTCACTTCTCTACCCAATCAAATTTGTGCACAGAGAGCATGCTCCTGATTTCAAAGGGGTCCCCATTATCCGTCAGCTGAGAGTTCAAGCTCGAATTCTCCAGAAAGAAGGTGACTTGGAAAGGCCGTCCACAATGGAAGATCTTTCTGCCCAAAATCGCTGGATCCCTTGGTAAGTCTTGGCATGGAAACTGTTTTTTGTTCACTCTGTGACAGGAGAGACTGCGATTAGTACCAACAATATTATACCTGGAAAAATGACTTGGTTCTGATTGGCTAAAAAAGAGTGAAGCTCTCGCATAACTAGATGTAGACTACAGATTGTTAAGAATCAATTGTGTTAGTTAGCAATCACATGATTACGGATACTAGTTTGAGGCTAGCTTAGAGCTTCAGGAGGAATTGGCACTTGAAAGTAAACTGACTAACCATTGTTTGTTTGCGGTTAGCAAGATAGATCTCTCTTGGCTGCAGTACTTTTATCCTGAATTGTTCCCTTTCCCTTTGTCCTGGACAGCCAAACCTGTGTGAACCTCTTTCCTTTTTTTGTTTTTGGTTTTGTCTTTAAAAAAAGGGAGGAAGTGGTTTCTGCTGTTAGCACCCAGCGAGAAAAGTTTGAATTGACTGGTCCAATGAAGTTCAAAGCCAAGGAATTTTGCGATCTCATTATGCTATCCCTGTATGTGTTCATTCCCCCGTCACGGGGGCTGGAAATCAGGACCCTGGAAGTGCTGTCAGGGGAAGAGGCCAGGAACTTCGACCCAAAGACCTCAGCTGGGAAGAATTACCTGCTTGTCAAGGATAGTGGGGCTATTATCCTCCACTTTAACAATTACAAGACCAGAAAGTTTTCTGGACGAGATGAGCTGTCTCTACAGGTTAGACAATTTCCTCTCTGGTTCCAGTAAATTAAGTAAATAAATAAATAAGTTTGTTTACCGAGGGTGACACATTACAGTTGACGACTGGTAAACTTCTGGCCCTCCCCTTAAATAGATAGAGCTAATTTACAAAATAATATTGAAAAGGGCAAAGACAGTAAATGTAATATTAAAAGGATAAAACATTTATGAAATGGGAAAGCTATCCAAGCCAGCATAACCATCCTTACAAGAATTCTGTTTGCAGGCATTAATACTGGTGCCAGATCTTATAGTAATAGGTAGAGAGTTCCAAAGTTTTGCAGCTGTAACAAGAAGAGTTTTTCCACCTTCTGTGTCACGTTTATTTCTAGAACAGCGTATAGTTATATCACCATAGTGTGAGATTCTGGTTGACATGTTGCTGATACGCACTAATTTATCTCCAAAGTACTCTGGGCATTGCCCATTTAAGCATTTGTGGCATAAGCATAATTTATTTACAATACATTGATCTCATCATAAAAGGGTAGCCAGTTTTGTGATTCTGCACAACTAATGGTGATCTGAGATGATTTACCTAAAATTTCTACTGATTGACATGGATGTAAAACTCCATCCATAAACATTTGTTTATATCTGTTGATGTTGATTCCATTTTCAAGCTGGTTAGTTTGGCCATTTATTCCAATCTTTAATTGTTAGAAATTTGTACAAAGGCTGTTCTGCACCCAAAAGTATTGACTTATCATTTAGTTTGATGATTGACCAGACATTGAGGTCAATGCCACTGATCTTTTTCAGCCCGAAGACGAGCTCTGTCGACTTTTGTTGTCGTACATAAAGGATTATCGGCCGCATTTGGTTACAGAGTCAAGCCAAAGCTACCTACTGCTGGTAAGGTTTAACCTGTTTTGACCAAGTTACCAAATGATATCCTCACATCTTGTGTAAGTTAGATTTCAACCTCTGGACTTTTGGGGTGAGGAAATTGATCCCAGCCAAGGATCCTCCCTAACCCTAACCCTAACGTTGAGGCATAAAGCTGTTTAATCTTCTCGTTTCACCCCCATTTCGATACCAAGAGTGGTTTTTCTTAGAAATTTCATCCTTCAAGGGTTGGTCACAGTCAGCTTTCACCCCCAAAAGCTCTTTCAGTATGTAAAATTCAGTGACAATTTCTACGGTGGGGTGTTTTTTTGGCAGATTCATCCTTGCAGGGTGTGTAAATTTCAAATCTTACCCTTAGTTAGGAAATTTTCATATCCAGGGTGGGTTTTCTGCACCTAATTTCACACCTTTTTGGGGTGATTTCAAGTCAAACAACATTTCAGTGAGGCAAGCCTGCAAATAACAGTCGGTCATTGGACAATTGTCTGGTAAATTTGAGGTTTTGACAGGTAAAAGCTTAGCCTGGTTGGACACTCTGACCGGACATTTCCGCTAAAATGAAAAATATTTTAACTGGAAATTTGTGGCTGAATATGGGACAACTTATTTTGTTATACTGCCACACAATGCTACGGAAAAAAGCATTGTTATCGGTTTTGTTTTATTCTAATTCTGAGAATTTTATCACNACCGTAGAAATTGTCACTGAATTTTACATACTGAAAGAGCTTTTGGGGGTGAAAGCTGACTGTGACCAACCCTTGAAGGATGAAATTTCTAAGAAAAACCACTCTTGGTATCGAAATGGGGGTGAAACGAGAAGATTAAACAGCTTTATGCCTCAACGTTAGGGTTAGGGTTAGGGAGGATCCTTGGCTGGGATCAATTTCCTCACCCCAAAAGTCCAGAGGTTGAAATCTAACTTACACAAGATGTGAGGATATCATTTGGTAACTTGGTCAAAACAGGTTAAACCTTACCAGCAGTAGGTAGCTTTGGCTTGACTCTGTAACCAAATGCGGCCGATAATCCTTTATGTACGACAACAAAAGTCGACAGAGCTCGTCTTCGGGCTGAAAAAGATCAGTGGCATTGACCTCAATGTCTGGTCAATCATCAAACTAAATGATAAGTCAATACTTTTGGGTGCAGAACAGCCTTTGTACAAATTTCTAACAATTAAAGATTGGAATAAATGGCCAAACTAACCAGCTTGAAAATGGAATCAACATCAACAGATATAAACAAATGTTTATGGATGGAGTTTTACATCCATGTCAATCAGTAGAAATTTTAGGTAAATCATCTCAGATCACCATTAGTTGTGCAGAATCACAAAACTGGCTACCCTTTTATGATGAGATCAATGTATTGTAAATAAATTATGCTTATGCCACAAATGCTTAAATGGGCAATGCCCAGAGTACTTTGGAGATAAATTAGTGCGTATCAGCAACATGTCAACCAGAATCTCACACTATGGTGATATAACTATACGCTGTTCTAGAAATAAACGTGACACAGAAGGTGGAAAAACTCTTCTTGTTACAGCTGCAAAACTTTGGAACTCTCTACCTATTACTATAAGATCTGGCACCAGTATTAATGCCTGCAAACAGAATTCTTGTAAGGATGGTTATGCTGGCTTGGATAGCTTTCCCATTTCATAAATGTTTTATCCTTTTAATATTACATTTACTGTCTTTGCCCTTTTCAATATTATTTTGTAAATTAGCTCTATCTATTTAAGGGGAGGGCCAGAAGTTTACCAGTCGTCAACTGTAATGTGTCACCCTCGGTAAACAAACTTATTTATTTATTTACTTAATTTACTGGAACCAGAGAGGAAATTGTCTAACCTGTAGAGACAGCTCATCTCGTCCAGAAAACTTTCTGGTCTTGTAATTGTTAAAGTGGAGGATAATAGCCCCACTATCCTTGACAAGCAGGTAATTCTTCCCAGCTGAGGTCTTTGGGTCGAAGTTCCTGGCCTCTTCCCCTGACAGCACTTCCAGGGTCCTGATTTCCAGCCCCCGTGACGGGGGAATGAACACATACAGGGATAGCATAATGAGATCGCAAAATTCCTTGGCTTTGAACTTCATTGGACCAGTCAATTCAAACTTTTCTCGCTGGGTGCTAACAGCAGAAACCACTTCCTCCCTTTTTTTAAAGACAAAACCAAAAACAAAAAAAGGAAAGAGGTTCACACAGGTTTGGCTGTCCAGGACAAAGGGAAAGGGAACAATTCAGGATAAAAGTACTGCAGCCAAGAGAGATCTATCTTGCTAACCGCAAACAAACAATGGTTAGTCAGTTTACTTTCAAGTGCCAATTCCTCCTGAAGCTCTAAGCTAGCCTCAAACTAGTATCCGTAATCATGTGATTGCTAACTAACACAATTGATTCTTAACAATCTGTAGTCTACATCTAGTTATGCGAGAGCTTCACTCTTTTTTAGCCAATCAGAACCAAGTCATTTTTCCAGGTATAATATTGTTGGTACTAATCGCAGTCTCTCCTGTCACAGAGTGAACAAAAAACAGTTTCCATGCCAAGACTTACCAAGGGATCCAGCGATTTTGGGCAGAAAGATCTTCCATTGTGGACGGCCTTTCCAAGTCACCTTCTTTCTGGAGAATTCGAGCTTGAACTCTCAGCTGACGGATAATGGGGACCCCTTTGAAATCAGGAGCATGCTCTCTGTGCACAAATTTGATTGGGTAGAGAAGTGAGCTGATGTGATTTGAAACCGTCGCAGAGCTGCAATTTCGTTCTTCCTGTGAGGAAACAGAACAGGTTAATTGAGGCTCGGAACAGCCAAAAATCAATAAGTAAATAAATAGATGTAAACGAAAGAAAAGGAAAAGAAAAGAATCAACATGTAGCAGAAATTCATCAGAGGCAAGAGTCTCTGGGTTAAAGTTTTCAAGCTCGAAAGGAAAAATTTCACCTACCAAGCAGTAAATCAGTGATATTAAAATTTTCCAATTTGTTGGGAATTTCTTTCTTTCAGAAAAAGTATGGAATAATACTACTACTAATAATAACAACTATTATTGACTTCTTAACGTATAGAGTCAACTTATTAGCAGCTAGCTATTTATAATTTCTCTTTAATTCGATAAAGACAACGTCCAAAACAGATTTAAGGTTATTGTTAGCATAAAACAAGTTTCAACGGCAGATCGGTAAAAAGATATCGCATTGCTGATAACACATTGTGAGTAATCAACACAACTTAGTACACGTCGTAAGGTTAAAAGTCCACTAATTTATGGCGAGAAGTTACTTTAAAACAATACCTCAGATGCAAAAGATATAGGTCCCAATCATAGCGTAATTTATCTGTGATGTTAACGTGCATAGCGAAAATCCTCCAATATTCGTCATTTTCAGCAGTTTCTTTACACACAGGTATTACGGGCTCACATTTTTTTACGAAACTAACTGATGTGGTTTTCAGTCCCCGGCCGTGAGTTCCCTTGGGCGTTTCTACTAAGGTGTCAAAACTTAATACGAAAGCCTGTAAAGAATTTCTCTCACCTTCAAAAATTCAACGTAGCCTTCGATCAAGGGAACTCTCAAAAAGCAATGTGGTAAAAGCTCTTCATCACGGCCTAAAGTAGTTCTAACGTAACCCAGAAAGCCTGCGAAGAAGATAAAAAAGGAGAGGTTATATGTTAAATCGCGTCACCCAAATATCGGTTATCATCACTTAGGCGCAAACGTGGAAATTAAGGCCAAAATTAAAAAAAGAAACAAAGATACTTACAAAGCATTCTCTCTTGAGCCTTCTCGTAAGTAGAAAGGGTCACCGGTGCTTTCTCTCTTTCAAAGTTGACTTTCTGGGTAAAGAATCTCTTTACGGAAGCCAAAAACTTTCTGACTGCCTCGGGTAGCTCACCGAATTTAACCGAATACGGGGTTTTGCGCTTGTTCCCTCTCTGCGCTGAATGCAGGGTAGATTCCGCATGAAATTCACCCGCAACGACGTCGTCTTCATTGTCGGCCTCTCTCTGCGCTGAATTCAGGGTAGGTAACGCGTGAATTTTACCCTCAGCGACGCCGTCTTCATTTTCGAAGAGTGGTTCTACCAACTTTTCCTGCTCGAGCGGGACGGGTGATAGCGGGCAATCATCCTCGATTTCAATTACATGTACCGCCGAGTTATCTGGAGCACTAGAGGAGCAAGGCATTTGTTCTTCCATTGCGAAAAAGGTGGTTACGACGAAGAAAATACCCGAGCGTGTGGTCTGTTGGCGTCGTCAATGATGATGTGGAAAAAATGATTGAATGGTGCAAGAACGATGCTTTACGAACTACGAGAATTTTCACAGGTATAAAATAGGCTCTTTGTACGATCCGGTCACATGGTACAGAATTAATTCCGCTGGGACGCAAGTTACACAGTGGGATTTTCAAAACAAAGGAAAGTCGTCCTAGACTGGTGCGAGTTCCTTTGTTTTGGAAATCCCACTGTGTAACTTGCGTAATTAACTCCGTACCATGTGACCGGATCGTGCAAAGAGCCTCACTTCCTGTGATCTTTTTATTCATTATTGCATAACTTCATAACTTCACAGCTTGATGTAAGTTACTCTGCTCGATCTTGTACGAAGGTTATTTTTGCATGATTTTCTCGGATGTACTAGTTTATCAACTATTTAAATTGGAATTGAAATAAAGTTTGCACTCATGCGTGTACGCATTGTTTCCCAAATATAGAAATGAGACAAACAGCGGTGACAAACATCAGATATAAACACATCACTTGTTATCTTTTACTTGACGTTTCGTATGCTTCTGCATACATCTTCAGAAGCGGCGGTTAATGCAAAATTGCGGTTAAATATACAGGAACACTAACTTATTACCGCACCTTTCAA